CACCACTGACATTTCAGTGGATGAGATTGTCCTATTTGTTTGTTGCATGAGCTCTCGAAGCTCCGCCTTCTTCTTGAAAGGGTTTTTGCTCATCCTCAAAAAGTGGCAATTTTAACATGCTATAAAAAATGATCTGTGGGAAATTTTGTGCTACTGTAAAACTTCAAATACACACTCTGGGGACATCAGAGACTTATTTTTGGGGCAAAATGCCCAGCCCTTTTAATGCAAGAATATCTGTGTGTGAACAACACCTTAATGTCAAGGAAGAAACATTGAACCACACAGGATCACATATGTTCAAAGAGTTTATTACAGAAATCGCAGTAGAGGCACTACCTCACATATATAGGCACTGAACTACTGAACTGGACTCGCAATTGTGTGTAAACACGGTTCAACACAATTCAGATTTAAATCCAAACCATGTCAACCCATCCATTAAGTTTCAAGTGAAGTTCTCTGTGTGATATGCAGCTCAAATGTCTGCTAACATACAATGGGGGCTTTAACCGGTGTCAAGAGATTTCACTGATAATCTGTGCATTTTATATATTGCTTTCAAACTATTCTTCATTCTGATGACAACATTAAAGGTGCTGTAAGCAATTCTGGGAATACCACACTTGAAAATGTAACTATAATCTGACAGATATCACTGAAATAGGCCTAGGTGTCCTGAGAAATCACAATCACAATCACAAAAATATTAAATAAAAATAAAAATCAGGGGGTGTCCCGCTCTATTTGAGCCACTTAGACTCTGTCAACCATTTTGAACATTCGTGGCTTTGCAAGGTGGAGAAGTTTCAACAGAGATTGTGTGGTTTAAAATAGCAAAATACTGGAACACTAGCACTTAAAGTACAGCACCTTTACCGAAATAGTTCACCCAAAAATGAAAATTCTGTCATCATTTACTAAACATTATGTTGTTTCAAATCTGTGGAACACAAAACGAAGATATTTTGAAAAAAAATTCACTTTTGATTTTCAAACAATTTAAGTTTTGAACCCCATTGACTTTTTTATTGTAGACAAAACCGGGTTTCTAACCCTTCTGTCATTTCAAATCTGTGCAACTTTCTTCTGTGGAACACGAAATGAAGATGTTTTGAAAAGAAAATCACTTTTGAGTTTTGGACCCCAATGACTTTCACTGTATAGTTTTCAAAATGCCATCTGTTTCACAGAATAAAGCAAGCCACCCAGGTTTAGAATGACGTGAGGGTGAAAATGCTCATTTTTGGGTGAACTATCCCACTAAGACAGGTAAATGATATTTGTTTTAGATATTAGCAGTTTTATATAAAGCTTCAATCAACAGCCATCAATAGTCTAGTTATGAATAAATGTTGTCCAAACTCACACAGGTTCATGCCTACAGTGCTCATACAACATCAATTCTACTGTCCCCATAGTTCTTCACAGAATAAACGTGGATAACAGTTATCTGTTTTTCAAAGTGTAACAACAGAGGTTGAATCAGTGTGTGGTCGACAACAGTATGCTAGAGGGTAAAACAGCTTTCGCTGTGTGGATGAGTGCAGTGTAATCTCATGGGACATTGTGAGTTCCCCTGGGCCGACCGTGTGTCTCTGCTCATCTACCTCAGTGTGAAACAATCCTTCATGGCAATATTTCAGATGTGGAAAAACAACCTAAAATTGTATTTTCTGCTCAGAGCTAAAACCAAGACTTATCAGTCTAGATTAGTGACTATGCAGTGAAATAATGTGGATTTTGATCGATTTTTTTTATGGAGATTATGAGTCAGAAGCTGAAATGCGTTGAGTATCGGCACTGCATATTGAAGACTGTCAGAGGCCATCAGCTACCACTAGTACACCACTATATGACGGCACAACATCATATTGAAACAACAGACCATCTCTACAGCTCCTCAGATTACAAGTCAACATGACAACCTGTCACCTCACAAATCAACAAAACAAACCCACGAAACACTGAAGAAACTGCATTATTTTAACAACCCACCACAGAGAATAATATTCAGCACATGGAGAAACATGAAAAATCACCGCAAAACAACTGCTACTTAGAGTTTAGGTGATCATACACAGCGTTTACTCCAAAGTGATTTACATACAAATAAGGGTAAAAGACGAAATGCATTTGAACATGTTTGTATAATAAAAAAAAGCCCAGAGTCCAATGATTTGAATTCCCTAAAGTAATTTAAAGCACTGTGGAGAGGTCTGAACTGAAATGACACCTTGGAAATAAACTTGAGTAAAACATTTCGCACCTCTAGATATGAAAATATGAGCTCACTTCAGCCCCTCATCCGCCAACTCTCAGCTCGTGGTCAAATGACTTCAGAAAACAGCCTGTTTAACATCTTGAGACATTTTTTCAAGAGTAAAGATGTTTCCATTTCGTAGAGGCAGCAGAAATGAGCCTCGAGTGAAAGCGAAAAATATAATGTGTCATGTGTCTTGTTGCAGAATTCGTAGACAAGAAAAATAGAGGTATATTTCTCTCGGCATTATCTCATTCCCTCAGATCATCTATTCACACATTGTCGTCTGTTGCAGTGCTGGAGGGTGTTTCAGATTTGAACCTCTGTGACATTTAACCTCATATAAAGCAAAGTGAAAATGAACTCGCCATCTGAGCTAGCCTGCAGCAGAGACTGTTAATGAGGCCAAACTAAAATAAAATAAAAATCTTCTGACGTTGTCACACATCTTCCAGTCCTCTGTTGTCTGTGAGCAGGACGACTGTGATGGCTTCATACAGGCAGAAATATCCATCTATCTGTCTGTTCCCACTGTGACATGATGCACACGACCGCTGTCAGCCAGCACATCATCACAATTATTGGGGAGGCGTTAATCTGAAACAAGTATGTGGATTGTATGTGTTGTTCTTTTGATCCTAATATTTCTAAGAGGGATTTTTGACATTCAATTCTCACTATCCCAACTAAAACACACAAACAGCCATTTGCACTCAAACAACGGTCAGTATGAATATGTATGAACGTCTTACTGTGCCCTCAGGCACCATATCGCCCAATAACAACAGGTCAGCAAACCATCTGAGACCGAACGTGATGATAATCGGTGTGTGGGTGCACATATTTATACAAGCACATGCAGACCAGATCGATCAAACCCATACTGACCTCTCATAGTGGAGATGCACCTGAATTCAGTGCATCCAAACCTGTCGCAAAGCATTGTGAATTTCTGACACGCATTATTTCTGTTTTCGGCATGCTAAATGAGCTCAGTGACCCGATACCCTTGTCAAATCATCAGTGGGGGCAATACAAGACCCTCACAGGGCACCGGTGAACCAAAAAATGAGGCATATGAGGTCTACGTCAAGGGTTTGATCTTATCACAAATTACAGGAAGTGAGCCCTCTGTCTTCCTCTACGTCCCCTAAGAGCAATCATCTCATGTCCTGTAAATGGGTCACTCAGAAACAGTTTATGTGAGCCTTGAATTGCAACTAAATTATTTAATTAGCTCATACCCTGAAGAAACACAGCTTCCAATTAAATATGAATATCACTGCATGTGACCTTGATCGGCAAACACATTTCCAGTTTATTTAGTCTCAAATAATTTAGTGTCCAGAAAAAGGAACACTATCAGACTTTCCCTTTCTCCAAACTTCATTGGTATTAAAGAAATGTTCTGGGTTCAAAACAAGTTTACTTAGCCAAGAATATAAGTGTATCAGCTAGTACATAACATGTTTACAGTAATGCACTTACAGTGATCAGTCTGTTGGGCAGGGCATTACCCCAGGATCACCATTAAAAGACAGTGTCTACAGTGTTATAAAAATGGAACATTTTATATGCTAACAAGTCTAAAAAAGGTTTTATTGAACTTTTCTAATTCTGGCATGGCTGGTGTTCAGACATACCCATAGTACTATATGTGTGTTTTTAGTGTTTGGATGATTTATACATGACATTCTAAAACTTTCCACATCTGACATTGAATACATTTATGTTGTTACATAAGATTTCCATTTTAAATAAATGCTGTTCTTTTGAACTTTCTATTCATCAATGAGTCCTGGAAAAAAAATGTATCATGGTTTCCACAAAAATATATGGCAGCACAACTGTTTTTAACATTAATAATAATAAGAATATGTTTTTGAGTAGCACATCATCATATTAAAATGATTTCTGAAGGATCATGTGACACTGAAGACTGGAGTAATGATGCTGAAAATTCAGCTTTGTCACAGGAACAAATCTTTAAATAATTTACAAAATGTTAAAATTATAATATTTTACAATGTTACTGTTGTTTTCATCAAATAATTGCACCTTGATAAGCATAAGAGACTTCTTTTAAACCCCCCCAATATTTTTTAATTAATATAACTACTTTAATAAAAAACATGATACAAAAATAAGAACATTATTGTAAACATCTATTTTGCTTGTTTTTACGAACTGATGGACAAATGAAAGTTATTGTCGGTGCTAATTGACAGTATGTCACAGATACTGTCAAGCTAAACCTGTTTTGAACCCGGAACATTCCTTTAACTAGCCGGCAAGATTAACCACATTCTCATCCAACTCCCGTCTCATGCTACAGTGAGGCATCAGTGATTTGCCATTATATGAGTTGTTCTTTCCACTCATAACAATGCTCTATTTCACACGTTCATGGCTGTGAAGGTACAAAAACACACACGTACAAGCATCCGCCTCCCACTTCTGAAGTCTCCTGCAGAAGATTCAGTTTGTCAACAGTACAAAAAGTGCTAAACTTGCTACCTTAGACGGGTGCTGTGGCAGCGTGGTGGATATGGCCCTAAGTTCCTCTTTAGTTTGCCAGAAAATTACCCTGCTTTTATACTGAAAAATGCACTACAGTTCAAAGGCGCCTGGAGTGTTGCGTGTGCCTGTCTGTGTAGGCCTGTACATCTATCTCTCTCTCTATATATATATATCAATATATGTATATGTTATTCTATATATTCTATAATTATATATTTATGTATTTTTTGCTTGCCTTAGATGTCCAGTCCAAAACTCTTCTGTCCAGAGGTGTGGAACACTGTCCAAGCCCCAGTAGATTGTCTCCACTATTCAAAGTATAAAGCTGATGCGTCCTCTGAGGGGAAAGTCTGTGAATTTGTCAGAGACACACACGTCAACTGGACGTCAGTATGTGTGTGTGGGTTTGCAGAGCCTACACTCTGAAAAAGTACAGCATGTGAGGATTTGTTATAGTTGTCCAGTATTGTGTGTGCATGTGTGTGTCAGACGGTCTCTTTCAAACAGAGGGCTTCCACAGCATTGCTGGGACCCTGGGACACCCCTCCGATGAGGAACAGCATGTTGGGGGTCTGAATGGAGGCACAGGAGCAGCGAGGGCTGGGTAACGGGGCCACGGGTTCCCATCTCCTCTTCAGCTGGTTATAACTCTCCACTGATGCCAGCGGGGACGGCTGGTTACCTGTCAGCAGCACACAATACAACAGAACAAATCATCGTCACAATTTATAAACATAAAAACACACAGATATGTACTGAAGTCCTCAAAATGTGTAATTTTGAGGTACAATATGCAGGATTTTTCGCCACCAGGGGTCGCTAACCTCTTACAATAACAAAGGCGTATATTGATGACGTATATTCCACATTAAGCTGAATTATGGATCTTGTCGTCAAGCTGATGGATCTTTTATGGATGAGTGAATACATTGATGTTTTTAACATGACTGTGGTATGAAGCAGGGCACGATTGCTAGACGTACCTTATACCAGCGCCACACACAACGCGAGTCCCGCGGATATAAAAGAATAAGGACATTTCATTCTACCGAACTACAAGCAAGAGCTGAATTAACACTCACACAGGTCAGTTTATTCGACGAATTAAACTTGAGGTAATGCAGCGCTGTTTCACTCGCTCTAACAGTTACACTATCACACTAAACAATAGGTTACTGTCGTAACCCCGGTTCTCTGAAACATCGAGTGGAGAGATCCACCTATGGGAAGGGCATCCGTACCTGACCTCTGCAGAAGCATCCAATTGCACCAAGTCTGGCTAACAGACAGAAGCGCGCAGCCAATGCCAGGTGAGGCCACACCCCCTTACCTACGGGCATATCACAGCTGGGCGCGCTGCTATTCCTCAGTCAGTATATTCGCTTCTCGTGCGGCAAGCGGGGCAAGGCTGGTGGATCTCTCCACTCGATGTTTCAGAGAACCGGGGTTACGACAGTAACCTATTGTTCTCTTTCATCATCTCGTTTCGAGATCCACCTATGGGAGAGACATGGACAGCTCCCCGATTGCCCAATACACTCACAGTGAGGTTCTGAAGGCCAGAGAAGGACGGTCACCTCAGAGAGGCGGTGCCTGACACGTCCCACAAACATGACCCTGCAAGTTTTCCGCCACGCTAACTGCTGTGGACAAGCAGGGCATGAAACATGCATGAGACACATACATGATAATGGCCCCTGCACCACCAATGCACATAGCTAAACCCAAGAAGGAATGCGAATGCTTGGTGACAGGAATGAACATGGCCAGCCAGCCCATTCACTCCTCGTTGGTTAACCAAACGGGGCTGTGGGAAAGGGCTAAGAGGACCCTACCCCTAGGACCGAGTGTGCCACCGAAGTTCTGGTGACATCCAACCGGTAGTAACGCTCAAAGGTATGAGGAGAGGCCCAGCTGGCCGCGGAGCAGATGTCCTGCAGTGGCACTCCCCTGAACAAAGCCCAAGAGGCGGCTAAGCCCCTTGTGGAATGAGCTCTGATGCCCCTTGGGGCTGCACTCCCTTTGCTTCATAAGCCATAGTATAGCGTCCACAAGCCAATGTGAGAGGCATTGCTTTGAAATGGGACTCCCCTTGTGCAGGGGAGCCCTAGAAACAAAGTGCTGGTCGCTCTTGCGGAAAGCACTGGTCCTGGTCATTATGCTTGCAGAGCACGGACGGGACACAGAGCATTCAGCCCCTGATCCTCCGGGGAGGCAAAGGGTGGAGGGTGAAAAGCGGATAGCTCCAAAACCTCCGACGTGAACGCAGGGAAGCATTTCGGCATGAAGGCCGGGTTAGGCTTAAGGAAAACCTTATCTCCACTTAGGGAGAATTTGGCGCACGAGGGGTGAACCGAGAGTGCATGTAGCTCACTGACCCGTTTAGCAGATGCCAAGGCCGAGAGCAAAGCTGTCTTGAGGGACAGCAGCTAAAGGGAAATACTCCCCAGAGGCTCAAAAGGATACAGAGACCGCGCTTCCAGCACCATGGAGAGGTCCCACTCTGGGACAGATTCAACAGATCTCCTGATGACCAGCAAAGAGCGGCGTGCACCCTCCATAAATCTGCGGGTTAGAGGGTGCTGCCTGACGGTGGAGCCCCAAAACCCACATGACAGGCTGAAATCGCAGCCAGGTAGACCTTAATAGTGGAAAAGGACCTGCCTCTTTCCATGAGGTCTTGCAGGAAACACAAAATATCAGGCACCGAGCACTGATAAGATGTGAAACCACGCCCATCATACCACCCTTCGAACACTTGCCACTCACAGCCATATAGGGATTGCGCGGAAACGGCCCTGGCCTTCTGAGTAGTGGCGATTACACGCGGCGGGAGCCCCAGTGCATTTTGGTTCGTCCTCTCACGGGCCAGGCCCAGAGAGCCACCCTGTCCGGGTGGGGGTGGTAAATCTCCCCGTTGGCTTGGGACATTATGTCCGTGCGAGGGGGGAGGCGCCATGGCTCGGCGTATAACAGAGGGATTATCTCTGCCAGCCATGGGGCTTTGGGCCACCTGGGTGCTATTAGAGTGAGAGACAGGCCGTGCTCTCTCACCCTGGCCAGAGTGAAAATTATCAGGCACAGGGGAGGAAAAGCATACAACAGCACTTTGGGCCATGGGTGGGCCAGTGCGTCTGCCCCGAGGGGCGCGTCCATGTCCTTTAGCGAGAAGAACATAGGACAATGGTGATTTTCGCGCGAGGCGAAAAGATCTACGGCTGCCTGTCCCATCTCATCCATAACCTCTCCACTATCTGCGGGTGAAGACGCCAATCCCCGTGGATTGGGTTTCCCCTCGATAGCAGATCCGCGCCTCTGTTCCGAATGCCCGGGACATGAGTCACGCGTAATGACAGAAAAACCTGTCTGCTCCACACCAAAAGCCTGTAAGCTAGAGCGTGGAGTTTTGACGAGCGCATGCCACCCTGACGGTTGATATAAGCCACTACCGTGGTATTATCGCACCGTACTAGAACAGGATGTCCCTGCAGGCAAGGCAGAAAATGATTCAGAGCTTTCCAAATAGTAAAAGCTCTAAATAGTTAATGTGCGCTGAACGTAGTCTGCTCAGCCACAGACCGTTCACCGTTCTGCCTTCCTGGGTGGTTCCCCAGCCTGTTAAGGACGCATCTGTCGTCAAAACTTTTCGCATCGTACCGTCCCGAGGGGGGGTTCCCCGTGCGTAAAAGTTCTCGCTCACCCAATGGCGCAAGGCCGCCGAGCAGGCGCGCGTCATCGTTACCGAGCGGCAGAGATCGCAAATCGGGCTGAAATGTAGTGTACAAAACCCATTTCGTGAACGTTCTCATTCTCAGGAGACCAATGGCACAACTTGGATAGATGAAGCCATGAGATCCTGCAGCCTGAGGCATGTGCGATATTGTACTCTCGCCCCTTCACTGAACTGAGACAGACAGTCCATCAGCGAGCGAACGCGCTCTTGAGAGAGACGCGCTCGCATGGAGACTGAGTTCAATTCCAAGCCCAGGAAAATGACATTCTGACTGGGAGTCAGATTGTTTTCGCTCGCATTCACCTTGAACCCGAGGGATGTGATGTGCGCGAGCACCCGGCCGGTGTCCAGCGACACCTTCTCCTTTGATTTGGCTATGGTGAGCCAGTAAGTCAGAATTCTCAGCCCTGATAGTCTCAGGGGCGCCACGCCCACCTCCACACACAGACAGAAAGTTCGGGGACTCAAATTGCACCCGAACGGAAGAACTGTGAATTCGTAACAAACGCCTTGGTAGGCGAAACGAAGATATTTCCTGTGTGGAGGGTAGATGCTTATGTGAAAGAAAGCATCTTTCAGATCGACTGATGTGAACCAGTCGTTCTGCTTTATGGCACAGGCGAGAGAGGCTTGTGTCACATTCTGAAATTGAATTTCCTCAAATGTTTGTTCAACACTCGAAGGTCCAATATAGGGCGGGGGGGGCGCCACGCCTTTTGGAACATGAAAATACCAGGAATAAAAACCATGGTTTATCAGATTGGGTGGCACCATCTGAATCGCTCCCTTGTTAGGAGGGAGGAAATTTCCTCTTTCAGAATGTGTGAGGCGTTTTCTTCTGTGTGAGAAGAGAGAACGCCGTTGAAATGCGGAGGTTTTATTGCAAACTGCAGCTTGTAACCCTGGGTTACAGTACGGAAAAACCCACTCGGGCGCTGAAACGGCTTGCCAAGCCGCTTTGTGACTCGCGAGCGCCCCCGCTCGGGCCGGAGCGGAGCTGTATGGGCCCAGCTGGTTCATTTGTGATGCAAAGGCGCCATCTAGTGGGAACACTAGAGGCAACATGCAGGGGTTTGGAGGGATTTCCTCTCTCTGCAGTGAGAAGTTTTCTTTGCGGAGAGAGGTCTTCTCTCCAAAACGAATTCATTTGATTCGTAGCTTTGTGTGTTTTGTGTTGGGCAAACACTGGGGCCAAAGCCTTTATTGACAGAGTGAGGGAAACATAGTGTGGTGTCCACTGTACTGAACTTTCCCTCACAAGGTGTCCCCAAAAGTGGGAAAAACACATATCTCCTGAACACATGAACTGGGCAGTCTCAAGTGCAGGCAGAAAAATAATATCCGCGGAGAGAGATACTCTCTCTGTAACGGATTTATTTAATGCGTTTTTTTTTTTTTTAAGGGTTATTTAGTTATGTGTGTGTTTTGTGTTGGGGAACACAGGGGCCTTACACACACAACGTCCACTAAAAACACATCGGCTGGACAGCCGCAACTGAGCTGTGTGAGCCCAGTTGGTTGATTTATGAGGCAATGGCGACCTCTTGTGGACGGACTCAGGGCGACATGCATGGGATCAGAGAGATTTGCTCTCTATGTTGCCGCTGGCAGATATATAAATCTGCACGAATTCATTTGATTCGTTTATTAAATGTGTTGTTTAGTAATGTGTGTGTTTGTGTTGGGAAACACTGGGGCCGAAGCCTTTAATAACTGGGTGAGGGGAACCAAGTGCGTGCGGTGTGGTAACACTGCTATGTACTTTTCCTCACGACAGCCCCAGGCTGGGGGACACACACACACAACGTCCACTAACATACGGGCTGGGCAGCCACGCGAGGGGATTAACCGACCGTAGGTGGGAGACCCTGTTAGTTAACGTTACTCCCAATGGTCGAACAACAGGCAGGCCGCTTGCGTTCGGGACCGCCTTCCTAGGAAGGCATACA